CTCTGCTTCCTCAGCACTGAGATTGCAAGCACGCCTGCTTGTTTTCTTTGTTTGTCTTTTAAATGTGGCTTCTGGGAATCAAACTCGGGTCCTCTCCTCCTGCCCGTGCGTTGTGCAGCAAGCCCTTTGACGACTGAGCTCTCTCAGCCCACAATATATCTTCTCATAAAGCAAAACATAATTTGAAATAACAAGTAGCTTCCCATGGGGAGTTTTCCTTGGTTTCTGAACCTAATCTGTCAGCCACTCCAGCTAAGGCACGTCACTCATTCAGGCAGCCAGTTGCCTACTAATCCTACCAACCTCCAAAGCTTTGCTTCCTAGAAGCTGCATATGTCTGGAGGAAGAGAAGGCATGAGGTGAGAATGCAGGCCTTTAGGTAGATTCTCCTAGTGGATGGTGGGACTTGACAGCACAGGGAATCTCCTAGAGTCATGGCTGGAATTCAGGTACCCCACCAGGGCTGAGGACACTCCGACAGAAAAACAGTTCATGAAAGTCTGACAGGAAATATGATAGGTCTCTTCTCTTCTCTCCTCTTCTCTCCTCTCCTCCCCTCCCCTCCCCTCCCTTCCCCTTCCCTCCCCTTCCCTCCCCTTCTCTCTCTGTGGGTATGGGTGTGTGCATGCAACCACATGTATGCATGTGTCTATGTACCTGTGTGTGTGAGGGGGTACATATGCAAGTGTGTAAGGACCCATGTGTTAAGGACAGAGTTTAGGTCTCTTCCTCCAGTTCTCTCCAGCTTCACCTTTGAGTCTCCCACAGGGCCTGGAGTTTCTGTATCCCACTAGCTTAGCTGCCAGCATGCCAAGGAACCCTATAGTCTCTTCCATGCCAATGAATGCTGCGTCTTGCTTTTCATCTGGACACTGGGTATCTTAGTCAGGGTTACTATTGCTGTGAAGAGACACCATGATCATGGCAACTCTTATAAAGAAAACATTAATTGAGGGGGCTCAATTACAGTTCAGAGGTTCAGGCAATTATCTCATCATGGCAAGGAGTATGGCAGCATGCAGGCAGAGGTGCTGGAGCTGAGACTGTTACATCTTGCAAGCAATAGGAAATCAACTGACTATCACACTGAGTGAAGCTTGAGAAAAATACTTCAAAGCCCATCCCCACAGTGACACACTTCCAACAGAAGGTGTGGCCAAATTAAAGGTGTGCCCTCCAGCCTCAAGTTCTGGACTAAAGGCCTGTGTCATTCAGCCTCCTCCAACAAGGCCACACCTCCTAATAGTGCCACTCCCTATGAGCTTATGGTGGCCAGATACATTCAAACTACCTCATTGGATATCAGAACTCACGCCATGTTCCCAGCCTAGGAGATGTGCTTTATAAAGTGCTGTCATTTCTTATGAGTAGGCTGAGATATGTCTTGGGCTGTTTTCTGTTACTAATACCATATATCCACACCTGGGTAAGATTTAAAAAGAGGTTTGCTCTGTTTGTGGTTCTGTAAATATCTAAGGCCAGGTGAAGGCCCTCTTGCAGTCTCAAATGTGTCAGTGTGTGGTATCACAGAGAGGAAGCAGGTGTTTGTCTCCTTCCAAAGCCACAAATGGTCATCTCAGGGGCTCCATTCTGGTGGCGATATCTATTCTTAGGCACATCTTCAAGTCTCTTAATCTAAACACGGAAGTCTTAACCCTGGTTGCAGGTTCTGTGAGTTGCTTTGCTGCTGAATGCAGGAAGATGACTCCAAGATGCCCTGGGCAGTGAGGCCAAGAGTGCATGAGGCTCAGTCTCGGGCCACAGCAGCTCCTTAGCCTGACCACTCCCTGTGGTTGCTGGCCTCTTCGACCACGTGTCCACCCTCAGCTTGTAACCTTCTCACTCCTTTCCTGCCAGGCTGCAGGTATTCCAATGGGTCATCACTTTCCTATTCTGTCATGACTTTTGCTCAACAATCTCACATTGACTCAACTAACAGTAGCCAATATGCCCCACGGCACAGCTTGAATGCTTCGTTTTGAAATCTCGTTTTGAATAACCTAGTGAATCACTTTCCAGTCCAGCCTTCCACAAGCCTCAGGATGTAGATCCTATCACCAAGTTACTTGGTTGTGATGTTGTCACAAGGATGATGTTGTCACGAGGGTGAGGATGACCTTTCCTCCGATCCCCAGTAGGAATCCTTCCCACCTGAGAGTAGTTTCCTCCTCTCATCTCTTGCAGACCCCTTAGAATAGCAGTTCTCAACCTGTGGGTCACAACCCTCTTGGGGGGGTGTTGAAGGACGCTTTCACAGGGGTCGCATATCGGATATCCTGCATATCAGATTTTTACATTATAATTTATAACAGTTGCAAAAAAACAGTTTTGAAGTAGCAACAAAAATAAATTTATGGTTGGGTGTCACCACAAAATGAGAAACAACTGTATTAAAAGTTCGCTGCATTAGAAAGGTTGAGCTTAAAACTTACTAGGGCCTGCTCCTCCAAATTCCTTCCAGTCTCAAGCTATCACTCAATTGTAAAGTCACTCCTACATTGTCAGATACTTGCTACCAGAAATCCCCTCCAAACTTGGTAGGAACGTTGTCTAGGTCTGCTTGCCGTTGCAATAAGAGGCCACACACTGAGTGATTTAAAGGACTGATTTGGTTTCACTGACTCAGCAGCTAAGGGAGAACACCTGGCCTGCCTTAAGCCTGGGGATGCCCTGAGGCAAGGCCTTGCAAGGCAAGAAACAGGGAGTGCGTCTGTGTTTCTTGTCTGGTCACCCCTGCTTCTTCTAAAGCTATGGTACCCCATCAAGGGGATCCTCTCCAATTCTACTGGTCTCCCCAGGTTTCTACCTCTAAACGCTCACCTAGTGGTGTAAACTCCTATTCTCTTAATAGCATGCCTAGGGAATTAAACAACAGCACACGTTTGGGATGGGACAAACTATAGCAAAATGTATTTATCTGTCTTCCAAGATGGGTAGAGCCACCAGTGAATGGCAAATACTTGGTTTCTACATAGTGAATCCTGTGGTTAAAAAAAAAAAATCACCACACAATTCAAAATTTGATCTTTGAAAAACTTGTTGAAACTAAGAAGCAAGCAGGGAAATGGATGTTAACTTAGGACCAAATAAATAAAATGGGGAGCCTGGAAGGCCAAGTGGGACCTCCACACCTAGGTAGACGGCAGGGTGTTTCAGGAAAGAGGCAAGCACAGGAAATGAGCTGTGGCAGGCGGGCAGCATTAGCTTCTCAGGACCGACCCACTCATGGTGTGCTGTGAATTTCCCAGAACGCAGTAGAGTGAGAGGATGCTGATATCTTCTCTGCTAAGGCAATTTGCAATAAAATAAATAAAAACAAACCCACCCAGTTGGGAAATACAATTATGGTGAAGAGAAATCTGCATGCATCAGGAGTGAGAACTAGACAGTTGCCAGGGTCCATATCCATTTTCCTAGTCTCTAAGGGATGACACGGTGTGCTTCACAAGACACATGGCTCCCTCCTGCATCAACTCTAACTGCCCCAGAAAGACCGTATTCGCGAGAGGCACCAGTGTCCCCAGCCCTATGCCCACTGTCAGACCGTTCACAGGAATCCCATGATGGAAGAAGAAAATGGCTAAAACTGCGGTCCGACCGGAAGGGGAGCCTGTATCTAGAGAAAGAAATTTCCTCAGCTTTGACAGCTTGTCAGATCACCTTGCAGCAGAAAGCTGGAACCAACGAGATCATGATATGTTAGGCAGGACCACACCCTGACCAGAGCTGCCTGGGTATGCGTACCCCCTGCTTTCTACTTAAACCTAAACCCATGCCATGATTCTGAAAATGGACTTAGGGTGACGGCTGGGGGTAGTTAGTGGATCTCTTTTTCTTCCTAATGGGACCACGTTGGGTGCATCTTTTTCTGCCTTTCACTATTGTGTCCTTTAATTTGACATGTGGTGGATGGGTGGCCAAGCCTAGCTTGTTACTTACCAGGGACTGCTTCTGACCATTAAAAACTGTGTTCCTCTTTTGTACTCTGTTCAGCAGCCTCTGAGGAGACCTGGAGCTTCTATACAGACTCTGCACAGCATGTCAGATCATGGGCCTGTCTTGCTTGGGTGCAAACAATTCTGGGTATCCATCTGGCCCTTCAATGTCAAACAAAGAAGCTTGAAAAAGGGACAGCGTGTGAGAGGTTTGAGTGTTAACAAGGGCACTTTCCATCTCGGGAGTTAAGAGAGGACCGCGGGGTCTGGATGCCCACTTAATACCTGCAACACTATTGTCGAAATCTCAGAAATTGGGACTTTGTAACCAGCAGATGAGGAGCCGCCAGACTCCTCCCAGTAGATACTTAATGGCAACAAAGAACGATTCTGAGGGCGGTGGATACAATGTTCGGAGGTCAGCGGGAGTTCCAACCCTGAATTCAAGCCGCCTCTAAAGCCTGATGAGAATTTCTCCCTTTCAACCTCTCCAGCATAAGCACGACGGCGGCGTCTGGGAAACCGCTCAGAGAGGTTGCGGGGGCAGGCTGTGTGCAGCCAGGACCCACAGATCAGATGTAGGGCTGGCTCATCTGCTAGGAGCACGGGCCTTGGAGGTTAGCCCAGGAGGCTCTCCGTCCCCGCCTGCCGCGAGACACTCCGGGAACTGCAGTCCTCCCTCCGTCCCCCGCACGCCCCCGTGCACGCCCAGCGGGAGACCACTGCGGCTCTGGATGTAACTGCTGCACTTTCCTGCCCTAGGCTAGGGTCCTCCCACGGAAGGCTGCGTCCTAATGGCATCACAGACCCCGCCCCTTAGAGGCGGAGGGGACTTAGGTGTCTACGCAGGGCCTGTAATGCGGCGGGCGGGCGGGCTGGAGAGGACTGACAAGCCTCCGAGGCAGGACCTAGCTCTTGCTCAGCTCTCCCAAGGACGCGCCCTAGGGCTTTGTCCTTGGCGGCCCTCCTCCGCCCCCCCCCTCCGCGCCGACTTTCTGATCAGGCGGCGCCCCGGACAGCCCAGAGAAGGGGCGGGCCCGGGTGGGGCGGGGACCTGGTGTGCTGTCGTCGCGCTTGGGCCCTCCGGGCTACGCCGCTCCCCAGCGCTCCGGGCTGCTACGCGGGTCGGAGCCCTAGGCCGCCTCCACGGGGACCTCTGAGCACGCATGGACCTGCCCGCGCCCGGCGGGAAGCGGCCAGGCTGGAGGTGGCCGGGGCGGCGGGGCAGGGCCGAGGCAGCGGGCCCGTGAGCGCGCGCCCTGCAGGCCGGGCCGCAGCACCATGATGCCCGGCGAAACGCACCCGGCGGCGCCCGGGCCAACCGAACTCGCGCGGTGTCAGGGTTGCACCTCCCTGCAGCAGGTAACGACGATCCCCGGCCGATCCCCTTGGCGCTGTCTTGGGAGCGGGTGCCTGTGCTTTGTTTAGTCACGGGCTCCAGAGCTGGTTCACCTGGTGCGATGCTGGTGGCAGGCGAATGAATGCGTCCTGCAGGGCCTCTTCCTCCTCTGCCCAGATTCAGGGTTTGCTGGGCCGAGTTGGGTTGGTGGGTGACCCTAAGTGCCAAGGGAATCTTCCTTTCTGGGGTGAAGGCCTTCTCGCAATCCTAATCATTTGTTACTTGAAGGCAAGGCTTTTATGTTTTATGTTGCGTGCCCGGGTCACGAGACTTCACGATTCGGGAGCTGCATTTCATTTTACACCAATCTATTAAAGTACCATCCACCGTAGCTTTGGTTAAATAACGTGTTAGTTGTCTGATTAAAATATTCCATTAAGATGTGTACGTCGTGGTAGTTTGTTACAGTGGCATGCTCTGTTCTCAATAGCCGCTGCAGATGAGTTGTGGGGTTTACTGATGTAGTGGAAATAGTCCCAGTTCACCTCATTCACCTTGTCCCATTCACCTCATCCCCGTTCACATTCTGGTGAACCAGGTCGACACGAGTAAGATGAACGTGGGCAAGTACCATTTGACAGGATTTTAGATATTGGGAAGAAAATAATGGGACAATGTCAGGATGTCCGAGTTGGTGTTTTTGAGGCCGTGGCAGATGTGAATGTTGAAAAAGCAGCTCTGGAGATCGGTTTTAACAGGTGGCACAGTTTCTGTGATGAGAAAGAGCTGTGCATGTTTGATGAGCAAGCCTGTGGAAGCCTCATGGTTGGTGAGACGAGGTCAGAAGAGATGCAGACTACGTAGCCATCCATAGAAGCTTGGTTTTATTGTAAAGTGCAGTGTCTTTGCGCCGATTTATATATTCCAGTTGTTCTGGGAATAGGAGATGGAGGCATATGCTGGCACTCTTGTATAAAGAAAATGAATGAATCAAGCCATTTTGTAGCTAGCCCACATTGTGAGGGCATCTTAGAATCCTCTGCTCCCATCTCAAGATTCTCAATGGCTTGCTCCTGTATCTTTAATAGACCATATTTGTTTTTTTACCCTGTTCATTCACTCAAAGAATTTTTTTGCATCCCCTGCTGTTTTATAGCAATGTAAGAAGCAGGGGAAAATTATATTAGAAGTAATATGTTAGTACAAATAGAGTTAAAAATAGGAGGGAAGAGTACACAAGGACCAGGATGGTGGTTGCTGGGATTTTGTGGTCTCTGGGAAAATCATATTTGAACAAGAAAATGAGTTCTGTTGATTTCTTTGGAGACAGACATCCTAGTGGATGCCTCAAGGCCTGGAGTAGGTGCTTTCCCAGTGTGCTTAGGAAGAGCAAGTGTGGTAGTGTAAGTGTATTTGGCCCCCCATAAGCTCATAGGGAGTGGCACTATTAGGAGGTGTGGCCACATTTTGAGGCTGGAGGGCACATCTTTAATTTGGCCACACCTTTTGTTAAGTGTGTCACTGTGGGGGCAGGCCTTGAAGTCTTTTTTCTCAAGCTTCCCTCGGTGTGATGGTCAGTTGATTCCGGTTGCCTGCAAGATGTAACAGTCTCAGCTCCAGCACCACCTCTGCTTGCATGCCACCACGCTCCCTGTCATGATGAGATTAGACTGAACCTCTGAAACTGTGATTGAGCCCCCTCAATTAAATGTTTTTTTTTTTTTTTATAAGAGCTGCCATGGTCCTGGTGTCTTTTCAGAGCAACAAAAGCCCAAACTAAGACAGCAAGAAAGCCAGTGAGACTGAGGGTTTAGGGTTTGCGGGGGTCATATCAGCAAGAAGAGCCCTGGTTGTGTGAGCCTCACACACCAGTGCATGGGCTTGGTCTTCTCTGAGTCACTGGAGGTTTTTGCACAGAACAGCTGTGTGAACTGTGCTTCTCTGCCCTCCTGAGAGCGGCCTCCACACACTGCCCACCAGGAGCCTCTGTCTTGTTGAATCAGCAGAGGCGCTGAGACCTTCAGGTTGCTTGAGACCGTCCTGGTGCCCTCCTTCTCCGACAGCCAGCATCCGTTTACTGGTTCTCCTGATTCCCCGTTCCTAATCTTACCATCCTTACTGTAGGAAGCATTCTAACCTATGACCTAGAAGCTACTGTTTCCACTTCCCAAGGGCGCCCCTTTTCCCCTCTCCAAGACACACTTCCACTCTTGGTTTCCATAACAGCAATTAGGGGAGGGGTTCCTTTAGATCTCTATAGGCCTGGTCTGTAAACATTTTTCCTGAAGGGGCAAGATCGTAAATTATTGGGCTTTTGGGACTTGTTCACACCTTCTCAGTTGCCATTGAGGTGTGAAAGCAGCCGTAGACAAGAGTAAAAGAATCCATGACTGTGCTCCTAACAATAGGAATGTAGCTTTTGAAAAGGCTTTTCAGGGCAGTAGTGTTCAAGAGACTGCTGTGAGTTCTGTCTCTGGAACACTTATTTAATTTGCAAAGTGAGTCAGGGAAGATGGGTCTCTAGCGGACATAGAGCATCGCAGTGAGGCTCTATGCTCATTTCCTGTATGTGTTGAGAGATGGAAGCTTTGTCTATTAACACCACCAAGGCAAAGTGTGTTGACCAGGATGGAAGTGTGTAGTGCACGTGGAGGGCACAGGATGAGTTGATGAATAGAAGCTGGGTTTGGTTAAGGGTAAATTATCTCAATAATGTGACCTAGTGAGAGTATTACAGCACAGAGTTCATTGAAGCTCTAGGAAATGATAACAAGAAAAGGCTCTTGAGTGTGAGAAGCAAGACAGGGTGAATGAAGCCTGTTAGGCTGGGTCTTATGTCCGGAAGTGAAAGGTACTAAGATTTCAGTCTTTGAATAATTATATGAACTGTGATGGAAGGAAGAAAGGAAGCCAGCTGAGGAAAGGCTGTTGGGAATGTGGGGCTACAGCTTTAAAATGACATTAGACTGGGGAGTTTTAGCCATTTTCAGATGTTTGCAAAGTGTCTGAAATGTCCTAATGCACTTCCAAGGAAGTGGAAGCTGGTTTCTAGGTTTCTATGGGTGTTGAGTTTATAGTAAGAATCTTTTTCATGGGAAGGGGTTAGGTAGTCCTTTGAGTCACTTAAGCTTTGAAAACCACTAGCATCTTAAGAGAATCTGGCTGCTGGGGCTGGGCTCTTGAAGAAGAAAGCATGGAATGGGGAGGGGTGGAAAGAGATAAGGAGACTTAAACAGGAAGTGGGTCACTGGCCTGTTGGGAGGAGAGAGATGACTGGACATTGCCACAGCAAGCAAGTGCTTGCTATATGCAGCTTAAACTGGTGCAGGAGAGAAGCCTTGTAGTTTTAAATCACTGATACTCTGGATCCTATGGAAGAGGTCCACGTAGTCTTCTCACAGTGGCACCAACTGCAGTGCTGGGCCTTCAGTCTGACTTGGAGCCTTATGGTAGCAGGTTCCTGTTCTGAACTGAATATGAATAGTCCTTGCTTGCAGAACATCTTCATGTCTGTTTGGCCCTTGTTTCCTTTAGAATGGAAGAAACAGTTGCCTTTTTAATCTATTCCCTCAGAAATGTATCCAAAGGCAGCCATGCTTCCTGACATCGTAAGTATCTCCTGATAGCTTCATAGGTGACTCTTGACCTTTGGATTGTAGTAGTTTGTTACTGATCTGTAGCCCAGCATTCACGTGTTCTAGAAACTCAGCAGTCACAAAAACCAATGTGGGGCCTGAATCTGATGATACTGTGTAAATTAGGCAGGCCCTGCATTGCATAGTTTTAGGTTAATTAATTGATTGGAAGTTACCACCCCCCACCCCCTTGAGCGTTTGAGACTCTGCACTTTTGCATTAGAATTGGTCTGCTTATAAAAGCTACAGATACTCCCAGAGCAGGAAACTGGTCAGAAGTATTTCACTACAGGATCTTCTACGTGTGGAAGCTCCAGGAGCAGAAAACATGAATTTGGAGAGAACTATTAGGGAAACTTGCAGAGAGCAACCTCTTCCCTTTGCAAAGAGCACCCCTACCTTGAACAGTGGATCCCACCTGCGCACAGGACTTGTGGGTCAGAAGGACCCAAAGGGCCCTGAACCCATCATACTCTGTTAATCTTACTATTCAGAGAGTTCAGTTCCAAACAACGTAAATGAACCCAGATTTGACAAGGAGAAAAAAATGTTCAATTAGGAACATTGCAGTATAAACCGGTGGGTGGTATCTGGATGTCTGACTCTTCACACTGACATGCACACAGGCCTTGAGCGTAGTGCAGAAGGGGCTGAAACAGATCATTTGGAAGGTTCTCCTTTCCCTCTTAGACAGTGGCTGTCAGCCTTCCTAATGCTGTGACCCTTCTCCTCGTGTTGTGGTGACCCCCCCCACCATAAAATATTTTATTGCTACTTTATAACTAATTTTGCTACTGTTAGGAATCGTATGTAACTATCTGTGTTTTCTGTCTTAGGTGACTCCTGTGAACAGGTTGTTTGACCACATGCCCTGTTTAGTGATTGGGGTTTAGTTTTAGTTTTTCTTGTTGTTATGACAAAACACTTAGCAAACCAGTCTAAGGAGCCTTTGTCGTGGTTGGAGGGGATACAGTCCATGGGGAACCATGGCAACGGGAGTATGAGGCATGTGCTCACACTGCGCTATCAGGGAGGAAGCTGGGGGTGAGTGCTAGTGCTCAGCTAGCTTGATCCTTGTCATTCCATGTGGGGCCTTAGCCCCTGGGGTGGCGCTGCTCACATTCAGAACAGGCCTTCCACCCTGGGTTAAAAACTAATCCCAGCACTCGGGAGGCAGAGCCAGGCGGATCTCTGTGAGTTCGAGGCCAGCCTGGGCTACCAAGTGAGTTCCAGGAAAGGCGCAAAGCTACACAGAGAAACCCTGTCTCGAAAAACCAAAAAAAAAAAAAAACCTCCCTGGAAACACCCTCACAGACACTGTATAGTGTGTGTCCTAGCTAATCCACATCTAATCAAGTTGACCTTGAAGATTAATAACAATGTTTTCT